ATTTCAAGTCATGAGAACTTAACAGATAACCTCAGAAGAAAATGTAGGAAGTTTGGATACGATAGAGAAATTGGAGGTATCACAAAAGGGAACTAGAGTTTGGTTTCCAAATCTGAGAGATGATTATGAAGTAGACCACATCTTTAAAGATATTGAGGTCTAACGGGTGGGTGTTTGGCATAGTGGTTAGGGCACTGGTTGGGACATCATCATCCCATATCAGAGTGCCTGTGTTCAAGTTCTAGCTTCATTATCCATTCTAGCTTCCTGCTAATTCGGTCCTGAATAGAGAAGGTAATGGCTCATATTTTTTCTCTGCCACCCGTGTGGGAGACCAGGATGGCTCCTGACTTTAGTTCAATCCTGGTCCAGCCTGAACTGTTCCAGGCATTTGGGGAGTGAATCTCCAAGTGGAGAGGTATCTGTCTCCCTCTCCTTCTCCCTTTCTATTTTCTTCTTTATCTCTCTACCTTTCAAATAAAAATCAAAATAAATAATAAAATTTAAAAGTTTTGTTAAAAGATTAGAGTCTGCTGGGAAAGGAAGATCAAAATTATGAACCAAGGTTATACATACTATTACAACAACCATAATTGTCTCTAAGGTTATATACCCAGAGGCATTTATTCACTTTTATTTTGACAGATTTGAAGGAGGTTCCAGCAGTTGAATGTTCATTAATGGGATGAGACTGAAAATCCCTCAAATATTTTAACTGTAGAGAGTAGACAGAGAAGAGCCACTGAAAAGTGGATGGGATTTATTGGTGGATATTCTCATAATTCGTACTTGTCACATAATAACTCTCCCAACCGTCTTGAGCTTTTTCCCTGGATTCTAGTGCTGAGTTCTATGATTTTAGCAGAACTCTGAATATAAGCTTAAAGGTATGGGCTTCAGTTCATCTCTAAAGTTGACCATCTATCCTGATGAATTTTGAGCAATTTAAACTCTTTCTGTAGGTCTCAATTTCCTATGTGTAAAATAGTAATATCAGTATGTTTTACAAGGATGTTGAAAGGTAAATTATGGTACATGTATTTATAAACTATAAAGCAGGGTATAAAAATAGAAATTATGACTGTAAAATTGTTCTCTATATATTACCTGATAAGACCTTAGGTACGAATATGCATGAGCATTATTTTTAATAAAATAAATTTGAATAAGAACCCCTGGTTACCAAACACATATACACTGAAAGAAACTGTAACCAACAATGATCATTATATTATTGAGGAGTGATGAAACCTGAGAGCTTACTCTGAGCACACCTTCACAACAGAGCCCAGAAATCCAGCCACCAAAAGAATCATCTCTTCCACAGGCTCAAAGAAAACTCTTCAAACTGCCCATGTTTCAGAAATCTTCCACTGAGAGAAAGAGTCTTGAAAGAATTCTAGCACAAGAAAACATTGACCTGATCCTTAGAAAATACAGAGATGTACCAGAGAGTAGCAAAACCCATAGCCAGAAAACACCAACTCTAGAGTTCTTGCAACAACTTAACTTTTGTGAGCTGATTTCAGGAAGCAGAGAGTCTGACCTCTCTCTCCTTATAAAATACTGGTTGCAGGAGGAGGAGGTTGTATTCTGGGGTGAGTGAAGGACCCCTGTTAAACACCAGGATTTTTTTAAAAAACTTTTATTTAATAAATTTCAAAAGTACAACTTTTGGATTATAGCAGCTTTTCCCCCCAATAACCTCCCTCCCATCCACAACCATCCCATCTCCCACTCCCTCTCCCATCCCATTCTTCACTAAAATTCATTTTTAAGTATCTTTATATACAGAAGATCAACTTAGTATATACTAAGTAAAGATTTCAACAAAGTATAAAGTACTGTTTGAGTACTAGTTTGACTGTTAATTAAATAGTACAACACATTAAGGACAGAGATCCTACATGGAGCGTAAGTGCACAGTGACTCCTGTTGTTGACTTAACAATTGACACTCTTGTTTATGACGTCAGTAATCACCCGAGGCTCTTGTCATGAGCTTCCAAGGCTATGGAAGCCTCTTGAGTTCGCCAACTCTGATCTTATTTAAACAAGATCATAGTCAAAGTGGAAGTTCTCTCCTCACTTCAGAGAAAGGTACCTCCTGCTGTGATGGCCCGTTCTTTCTGCTGGGATCTCACTCACAGAGATCTTTCATTTAGGTCTTTTTTTTTTTCCTGAGTGTCTTGGCTTTCCATGCCTAAAATACTCTCCTGGGCTCTTCAGCCAGATCCAAATGCCTTACGGGCTGATTCTGAGGCCAGAGTGCTGTTTAGGACATCTGCCATTCTATGAGTCCGCTGTGTATCCCGCTTCCCATGTTGGATCATTCTCCCCTTTTTAGTTCTATCAGTTATTATTAGCAGACACTAGTCTTGTTTATGTGATCCCTTTGACTCTTAGACCTATCAGTATGATCAATTATGAACTGAAACTCTTCACTTTGACTAGTAAGATGGCATTAGTACATGCCACTTTACTAGGATTGATTTTGAATCTCCTGGCACGTTTCTAGTTGTAACATTAGGGGTAGGTCTGAATGAGCATGTGCTGAACTGTACATCTCCTCCCTCTCTTATTCTCACTCTTATATTTAACAGGGATCACTTTCCAGTTAAATTTAAACACCTAAGAATAGTTGTGTGTTAAATAAAGAGTTCAACCAATGATATTAAGGAGAACAAAAAAAAAATACTAAAAGGAATAAAATAGTAAGTTGTTCCTTGACAGTCAGGACAAGGGCTGAACTAGTAATTATTTCTCATAGTGTCCATTTCACTTCTACAGGTATCCTTTTAGGTGCTCAGTTAGTTGTCACAGATCAGGGAGAACATATGATATGCCCTGTTTGGGAATGGCTGAATTCACTCAACATGATGTTTTCCAGATTTCTCCATTTGGTTGCAAATGATCAGATTTCATTTTTTTTACTGCTGTATAGTATTCTATAGGGTACATGTCCCATAATTTCTTTATCCAGTCTTCTGTTGATGGGCATTTAGGTTGATTCCATGTCTTAGCTATTGTGAATTGAGCTGCAATAAACATTGAGGTGCAGACAGCTCTTTTATTTGCCAATTTAATTTCCTTTGGGTAAATTCCAAGGAGTGGGATGGCTGGGACATGTGGTAGGGTTATATTCAGGTTTCTGAGGAATCTCCAAACTGTTTCCATAGTGGCTTTACCAGTTTGCATTCCCACCAACAGTGGATTAGTGTGCCTTTTTCCCCACATCCTCACCAGCATCTGTTGTTAGTTGATTTCTGAATGCAAGCCATTCTAACCGGGGTGAGGTACAACTTCATTGAAACACCAGGATTCTTGAAACATTCATGGAAATATTGTTAAACAATGAACTTGTATTATTAACATTTATTCATTCTTGAGATAATATTTGTAATAGGCATTGTAGTCAAAGGCTTATTAGCTTCACCAAGTAAATAGTTCAACACATAAAAAGTTAAAAGATCATACTCCAGTGGAAAACTTGACAGAAATTATTTATGATAATCAAATAAAAAATGTTCAACCTCACAATGAATTTGTTTTGGTGAAAAATTTTTTTAAATCTATGCACAGTTGTTTCACAATATATATTTTCATGAATTTTGTGTGCCAAAATAAATATTTCTTTTAATTCCATTTTATATGAAATTTTGAGGTACCCTCAAAGGCATTATTTAAAATACTGCTGCCTTCTTTTTTAGAAAAAGATTGCAGGTATTCAAATGGTTATAAAAATAGGTCAATTCTACGGAATTTAGCATGCTTCCTCATTTCAAAGAATTTTGACCTTGACTTCCTACTTCTTGTCCTTCTTGGCTCTTTTTCTATTCCTTTCATGACCAATTTTGTCCTCTTCTCCCTTGAAGGAATTTGGCAGTCCTCTAGTTACTTCAGGAATCTGCTTCCTTCCTTTCTTCCTCAGACCTGGAGCCACTTTGTCTGTCTCTTCTTCCCTCACTGAACTCCACCATACTCTCTTCTGGGTCCCCATGTCTTCTCCTTCACCTCTCTTCTTTGGCCCAAGGGTGAAGATGCTGTTTGGAACACCCACATTCCATATCAGTTTGCTTGGGTTCAAGCCCCAGCTCTGCTCCCAATTCCACCTTTCTGCTAATGTGCACCCATTCAGACACGATGTGTAAACTTACAAAATCAGATGATTCATGAGGTCTGTAATTTTAACTTTGTTGGCATGGAAGTTAAAAGGCAATGTCTACTGTTATTCTTTAATTTATAAAGACTAAAATCTGTATCCCTGAGATATGAAGGAAGAAAAGACTGGGTAGGATAATTGGTTTGCTTGGTAAATTGGTTGTAATGGGTCTTGTTGTTGTTGGACTGTTTTGGTTTGGTTTGGTTTTTGATGATGCACATGAGGAGGTTGTGATAAAGAATGTGTTCCTGGATTTCAGTGGAATATCTTCAACTAAATTTTCATAAACAGGGGTACATCCAACTGAGATGTACTAATAACTAAATCATTTTCTACAAGAGAGAGAAGAGATCAATTACAAGCACAAAAATACAGATTAGCCAGTTGCCCTTCTAGGACTCACAGAAATATATATTCATCCCAGCTGGCCATAGAGTAGATAATGACAAAACTCTCTAATAGCAAGTCTTTCTTGATACTTGGTGACACTAGGAAGATATTCACCTGGCCCACTGAAATATGGTTTCTAAAACTCCACAAATACTGCTTATACCATGGTCAATAAAAAATAGGATTTCTTTTTCATTTTTTTCATGTTCTTTCTTTTCCATAGCTCAGTGAAGGTCAAAGAGTGAACTACCAACTATATTACAGAAGGAACCATCTCTCTCATAATCCTCGACTCAAATCTTATTACACATTATCACGTCCTTACAGATTGCCATATTATAACTCACAAAGTTACATTAGGTATTATTACAATAGTAAAAAATACAGACACTGTAAGAATAAGCATAGGTATAGGCCAAGTAAGTGGCCACATAAAGATAACTCCATAGACAACAATGGAGTCCCAGAAACTACCACTCAAATCCCATCTGTGAGTTCCACACCTACCATCAATGATTCTACCACCTCAGGCGTGACTCCTCTTATTCCAAATGTTCCCATCACATCGACAGGAAAAAATAATCCCACCACAGCCTCTTCTATAACTACATCAACGCCACCATCTTCTTCAGCCCCATCAGAGACTACAACTACCCCACCCATAGCTACTACAACCATATCAACAACAACAATACCATTTTCAAGTCCATCAGAGACTACAGCTACCCCACCCACAGCTACTACAACCATATCAACAATAGCACCACCATTTTCAAGTACATCAGAGACTGCAGCTACCCCACCTACAGCTACTACAGCCACATCAACAACAACACCATTTCCAAGTCTATCAGAGACTACAATTACCCCAACTACAGCTACTAAAGCCACATCAACACCACAACCTTCTTCAAATACACCAGAAGCCATATCTACACCTACTACCACACCTAACCCTTCCCCAGATATTCTTCCAAATGAATTTACAACTGTATCTACAGGCCAAAGTACTAGTCCAACCACTACTCAAACTACTCCTGATGAAAACAAAATGTTAACTTCTCTCCTAAATAGAATGATGGAATTACTTCTTAAAATGATAAATGGGTAAAAAGCTATAATGTGCTTTCTATAGCACCACTACATAATATACATTGTGAAATATATTAAAGATATGATATTAGTGAAAAAAAATCTGGTGGCCAAGTCCAAATCAGGACTATGGCCCAACATTTTTGAGAGTATGTAATTGTTTAAACCTCATGGTTGACATTTATTGTATTGCATTTAAGTAAATGTAACTCTAATGTACTTGATTCTACCCTCTGTAAATCACAAAAGGACTTTCTTTGTATGTTCACATGGTATTCATAATACTTTACTATTAGTTCAATTCATTCATAATAATTCAATATAAAATATATTCAACAATGGAATGTTATTTAAACCTTGTAGACATACATTTGAATGTATTTGAAAGTAAACAAACTACTGTTTTAATGTAAAGTTTGAAAAATCATCTCTGAAAATAAACCCTGATTTTAACTAGTTGAAGAATGAAAATTAACTACCTGATGTATGGAGGTGCTGTTAATCTGGGATAGGGGTGTATTTTTATTTTTTTGTCACTACTACTAAGAACTCTGGTGATTTTACTTAGATTTTTTGCTAACTAATAAAGACTTTGAGTGGCATTCTACTTCCATTGTATATATTTGGAATTTCTTAACTTTCTTAGATTCTGACACTGGTGAAAAGTCCTAAACTGACATTCTTGGCAACTATTCCAGTAATCAGCCAGGTAACCTGGGAAGGGCATTCAATATCTCTCAACAACAGAATTTTTATCCTTCAAACATAGTGGTTAATTTACTTAGCCTAACCTATTAATAAATGCTTCAAACCTAAATTCTGTGTTTATCCTATGCTTCTCAATGAAGAATACTCGTTACCTTTTTTAATTATTTTAGAATACCAGCTGGTATGCACTGGGAATACCATGTCTTCACATAGCAGAAGACAAAGAGCCCACTTCCTCAAGTTCTTTTAATGGGCTCTAGTCTGCCCATGAGGGCACAACAGTCATGATTTCATCAGCTCTTAAAAGATCCACCATTTAATACCACCCATTGGCGATCAACATATTCAGATCATCCAGAGAAGCTTACATATTTCATTTAGGCACACATTACAAAGGAAAAATGGATCTTAAAAAACACTGAAAGAGATTTTCATTTTGTATTAACAGATAGAATTCTTGTGGTTTTTAAAGACAAATGAGCTAATGAAGTTGAAACCACTGCTCTTAATGATACTAAATGTTTCCTATTGTAGCTATAACATATTATCAAAAATCACCACAAACATGCTGGCTTAAAGAACAAACATTTATTGTTTAGAGTTCTGAAGGCATTAAATCCTAAAATCAAGGTGTTTCCAGGACTTCATTCTTTCTGGAGGCTCTAGAAGATCAACTGTCTTATCCCAGTTTAAAGTCACCTATATTCCTTGGTCCAAGCTCTATCCCCCAACTTCAAAATCAGCAATATAGCATCTTCCAATATCTCCACTTTTGTCTTCACCTTCTTGCCTCTGACTCTCCCACCTCTTGCTTTTCCTTATAAGAGTCTTTGTGATGACATTGGGCTCACCTAAAAGATCTGGAGAATTTCTCCATCTCAAGGATCTTAATTAATCACATGTTAACGTTGATACATATATCCTTGGGAACAATTATCTTGTCCTCCACAATCCATCATCCTATCAAACACGCACTAATATGAGCAAACACAAGCACTGTTTTTCCTACTGGCACAGCCTGGTATGAATTTTTGACATTCAACTTAATGATAGCACAAATGGTAGGACTTGTCCATCTCTATTGGTATGTAAGATAATTCCTGAAAAAATGATATTATAAATTACTGATTGTGATGTTTATATTTAGAATCACACAGAAACACTTGAAATATATTAGAATTGAAAAAGATAATAAAAATGAAATCAGTGTGTATATAAATGTTTAGAAATGTATATAGTTTTATTAAAAATACCTAGTGCCAGGGCCAGCATTGTAGGTTGGTGAGTTATACCACTGGCTGCAATATCAACAGCCCATGTGGGCACTAGTTCGAGTCCTTCCTGCTCTATTTCAAATCTAGCTCCCTACTATTGTACCTGGGAAGGCAGCAGAAGATGGTCCAAGTGCTTGGGATCCTGCACCCACATGGGAGACCTAGAAGAAGTTCCTGGCTCCTAGCTTCATCCTGACCCAGGCCTCAGAGGTTGGGCCATTTGGAGAAAGAACTAGCAGATGGAAGATCTCTCTCTCTCTCTCTCTCTCTCTCTCTCTCTCTCGCTCCATTGCAAATAAATAAACTAAATCTTTTAAAAAATTCCTAGTGCAATGCTCTTTAGAAGCATATGTTTTACAAAACTTCAGTATTAAAGAAATCCCATCAAATCTGGTGGGAAGGAACTCAACTTGGAAGACAAGGCCATGACAAGATGTGAAAAGACTGAAGGAAGCAGTGCTGTATCCTTCATAAATCAGAGTAGGAATCCCAGAGCCTGGAAGGTTCAGTCACAGTGGTCACCCAATTATAGAGAAACCATGTGTTCCTACAAAAACAAGAGAGGCTCTTAAACTCCTAAACCACGAAAACTCCTCAACAAAGAAAAGCCCAGGATCAGATGGCCTCACTGCAGAATTCTACCAGACTTTTGAAGAATGGATTCCAACTCTTCTCAAGCTATTCAAAACAATTGAAAGGGAGGAAATCTTCCCAAAGTTCTTCAATAAATCCAGCATCACCTTAATTCTGAAACCAGAAAAAGATACAACAGAGAGAAAAGTACAGACCAACATACCTGATGAACATAGATGCAAAAATCCTCAACAAAATACTACCTAATTGAATCCAACAACATATCAGAAAGATCATTCACTTGTAACAAGTAGATTTATTTCTGTTTTGCAGGGATGATTCAACATATGAAAATAAAAAATGTGATACATCAGGGCCAGCACTGTAGTGTAACAGATAAAGCTGCTGGCTGCAGTGCCAGCATCCCATAAAGGAAGTGGTGCGGGTCCTAGCTTCTCCATTTCCAATCCAGCTCTCTGCTATGGCCTGGGAAAAAGTAGATAAATGACCCAAGTCCTTGGGCCCCTGAACCCACATGGGAGACCTGGAGGAAGCTCCAGGCTCCTGGCTTCAGATCAGCACAGCTCCAGCCATTGAGGCCAAATGGAGAGTTAACCAGCAGATGGAAGATCTTTCCCTCTCTCTCTCTGCCTCTCCTTCTCTCTGTGTAACTCTGAATTTCAAATAAATAAATCTTTAGAAAAAGTGATACATCATATTAACAAATCAAAGAACAAAAAACATGTTATTATCTCAAGAGACACAGAGAAAGCATTTGATAAAATACAACACCATTTCATGATGAAAATCTTAAGAAAACTAGATATAGAAGGAATATTCCTCAACACAATCAAAGCAATTTATGACAAACCAACAGCTAGAATCTTACTGAATGGGGAAAAATTGAAAGCATTCTCACCTATAATCCAGAATCAGACAAGGATGCCCACTCTCACCATTGCTGTTAAATATAGTTATGGGAGTTTTATCCAGAGTCCTTAGGCAACAAAAAGAAATCAAAGGGATACAAATTGGGAAAGAGGAAGTCAAACTATCCCTATTTGCAGATTCATGTTTCAATATATAGGTGACCCATAAGTCTTCACTGAAAGACTATTGGAACTGATTATGAGTTTGGTAAAGTGGCATGAAATAAAATTAACACACAAAACTCGATAGACGATTATCTACCGGGGTCCGGCAAGATGGAATAGGAAGGGAGCACACTGATAGTCCGGGAAGAGACAGTTTAATAAAAGTGGAGATACTTCAGGTTCAAGGAAGAGTAGGGGAAGAAACAGCAGAGGAAACTCTTCTGGAACTAGTGATTCATGGTGGACCTGCGTGGAGGGTGCGGGAGCCCACGGCTCAGGACACCAGCCGCGGAATCTACGCACCAGCAATGGAACACGAGGTGAGCCAAATCTCAGTAGCCCAAGACACTGGTGGGAAAGTGGAAGGAGGAGTGTAGAGGGAATGAGACTTGAAGCCCTGTGGGGGAAAGTTGACCAGGCTAACTAGAGGAGGGAGGAAGAAAAAAAAAGGGACTGGTACGACACTAGTTTCTCTCTCTCCACTCACTCTCAATGGCGAGCAAGACAAAGAGCAGGCGCCATTTGGGACATACGTAGGGGCTGCGCCCGCCCTCAGCCAAGCAGAAAAACCTGACACTGGAGAGGGGGTGTGAAATAACAGGAGATTAGGACCTAGTGGAAACAGAATTAACCATGCCAAGCAACAAACACAGAAATCGAGGGAACAAGATCAACGATGACATTATGATGCCTCCAAATAAACAAAACACCCCAAGCCAAGATTATGAAGATGATGAGATAGAAAAAATGCAAGATACGGATTTCAAAAAATTTATGATAAGAACATTTAGAAGTTTTCAAAAGCAAATCCTTGAACTACAGAAATCCTTATTGGACAAGATTGAAAATCTCTCTCATGAAAATGAAATTTTAAGGAAGAATCAAAATGAAACGCAGAAACTAGTAGAACAGGAAAGTGTGATAGTGAAGAGAAATCAAAATGAAATGAAGAGCTCAATAGATCAAATGACAAACACATTAGAGAGCCTTAAAAACAGAATGGGTGAAGCAGAAGAGAGAATATCGGACTTAGAAGACAGAGAACAGGAAAGGATACAGTCAAACCAAAGAAAAGAAGAGGAAATTAGAAATCTAAAACATATTGTTGGGAATCTACAGGATACTATTAAAAAAACCAACATTCGAGTTCTAGGAGTTCCTGAAGGCATGGAGAGAGAGAAAGGATTAGAAGGCCTTTTTAGTGAGATACTAGCAGAGAACTTTCCGGGTCTGGAGAAAGACAGAGACATCCTAGTACAGGAAGCTCATAGAACCCCCAGTAAACATGACCAAAAGAGATCCTCACCACGACACGTTGTAATTAAACTCACCACAGTGAAACATAAAGAAAAGATCCTAAAATGTGCAAGAGAGAAACG